TTTTAATAGTTTTCTTTTTCTGCCATCTTTGTTTTGAATTCGGGCGGGAGTTACGGTGTGTTCGAATGCGTGGGTTTAGTACTAGTCTGGAGGGAATCCGATAGGAATGGTCGGGAAAGCTTTGTAAAATAAATATATATATTTTTTTTAGTTCGTTAGATTTGGAAAAAAAAATGTAATTATCAGTTCGTTTGTGATTTTTTTTTATAACAGTTTTGCTAGAAATTTGGTTTATTCGTTTTATCTTTTATGTGTATTCCATATAACTCAAATTTTCGGTTTTGTAAGATGGAAAAAAAAGTGCGCATTTATCAGTTCGTTCGTCGAATTCTATTCCCGTTTTACTAAAAAGTCTATTCGTCTGAGCTTCTATGTATCTCGTATGGTTCGAGTTTTGAATATTTCCCAATGCCAATGTTCTATATTAAGAAACCAACTCAGACAAACTATTTTGCTGTCATCAAAGTCTTGATGTTATTAGTTCACTGATGAAACAGGATTTAAGGCGGATTAATATGGTTGGTATTTTTATTTCATTTATCTATGTAACTAAACAGATATTTTGGGTATCAGTGAAAATGACTCAAGTCGGTAGGCATGCGTTAACTCAAAATAATTTTCCTCTGTTTCGTCCTCGGCTAAATATGTGAAAATATTTCTGAAGGTCTTTAGTCATTCTAAAAATACATACCAATTTCTTCGTTCTAAAAATAGTAAATGAGCCATATACCACTATTTCTACTAGGAACTATATGCGTAAATAGCCCGCGTTTCCTAGTACTAGTTGCATTCGTGAGATTGCACTGACTGTCCTTTCTCGCTTTGAAGATGGGTCGTTTGGTCCGCGTCCTCGGAAACTAACATGAAAATGTTTAAAGTTTCAATGAAATTATAATTTGATTCTCCTTTATTGCCACACCCACCTTCGTAAATGCTGTCCCCTTAGCCAAATAACATGATTTATAGTCCATCATGCTCTCTAAAAGGGCATAGTTGGCACTCGCAACATGGGCGGGTGCCAGGCCTAGCAAGGAAGCCCATGTTGACAGCTGACCTCCCCATTACTACTAAGTCTGGCGCTGATGTGAAAAGAATGTACAAGTTTCCCTTACCCTTAACCTCGTTTTCTTTTATTCTTAGCATCTTTGTGGGGTATTATTAGCATCTGAAATATATCAGATTTTTATTCTAATATGTATCCCCATCTAACTCATATATTTATTTGACTAGCCTTCCATAATGTATACCTATCTAACGTATACTTTTATCCAACTAACGTTCCATACGAGAACAGCGAAAAGAAAATATCTATATCTCTCTATCTATACTTTATCAAAGAGCCAGGATGTAAGTAAACCTAATATATATTGAAGTTACAAATTTATCATTACTTTTCCTAATCATGAGTGCAGGAAATCTAATTTTAACACCTGCTGTGACGCACATTGGTGAGTTAATATTACAAGTGACTCACTCTGTAAATAACGTTAAGTTTTACACTTGCCAAGGACATGATGCTATAACGTGGGACTCGTGGTTACTTGTAGCTAATGGATACCGGTGAAAAAAAAGTAAAAAAAGAGAAATTTTGAGAAAGAATTTTTAGAAAATAATATAAAAAAACGATTTTTTTTTTAAATTTCAGAATAAGAAATATCAATATCCCTTTTCTAATAAAAGCTTCTCTCATCTCTTTTCATATCTCCAGTATATATAATTTCCCCCCCCTTATCCCTTGCTACCCCTTTCCTCCTCGTTCTCCCTTCCCACCCCACCTTCTCCTCCCCCCCCCCTTTTTCTCTCTCACCCCCCCCTCCCACCCTATCCTCTCTTATCCCCACCCCACCCTATCCTCTCTCACCCCCCACCCCACCCTATCCTCTCTCCCCCACCCTCCCCCACCCTTTCCTCTCTCCCCCTCTCCCCCTCCACCCTAACCTCTCTCCTCTCCCCCTCCACCCTATCCTCTCTCACCCCCCCCCCACCCCACACACTTGGCACACCTCCCCGCCCCATCGCACGGCATTCACTAGCCAGTCTTTCGATCCTTATATGTGCCGACATAGTGTACCCTTCCTACTGTGTGTTGTGTCAAGGTATAAAAGAAGAACACGTCTTTGTTTCGTTATATTAGCAGAAGGCAATCAAACAGAAAATGGTGAAAAATAATAATAAAATAAATCTAATCTTAAAACCCTGCCTCAGTTTGGAAAATGGAGAGAAAAAAATATAATAGCCGGCTGTCTTCAAGATTTTCCCAAGTAGTGAGAATATTAAATGATTTATATGCGTAAACGAAGACGAGACCGGGCTCCCCAAATAGGCATAGCCCGGGCGAGGCTCTGCTTCGCGAATCTTTAAAAAAAAAAAAAAAAAAAAAAAAAAAAAAAAAAAAAAAAGTAAAGGAAGGGAATTAATGGTCAGAAATACTTCATTTCTAGCTTGAATAATTTTGAGATTTTTTTGGGGGGCTAATGTTCATGATAAGCTATATGTGTCAGTCTACTACTTATAAAAGTGCTATGGTGTCAAATTAAGGAAGAACAGATAAAAACTCACTGATGAAAGGAAAAATAGAGTAACCATATCCAATCTTGGAAAGGTTGTAAGATCCCTCGGAATAAAAATGTATATGAAAAACGAAATATCCACAAAAAGGAAGAAATACAATAGAATAGAAATAGAAAAAAAAGAAAACGAGAATAGAATAGAACAGAAAATCACTGATATTCGTACCGACCCAAAGAAAAATGAAAATGAACCAGTTTTACCGTCAAATTCTTTTTGAATATCAAAATGTAATAGAAAAAAATCTTAATCAATCATCACCATTATTCTAATCACTTCTTTTTATTATCGAACTTGTAACTCGATATGAATCTCAGGCGTAATAAGGAGAGGAGGGAGGGGGAGGGAGGAGGGAGGGAGGGGGAGGGGGGAGGAAGGAAGGAGGAGGGAGGGGGGAGGAAGGGGGAGGGAGGGGGAGGGAGGGGGGAGGAAGGAGGGAGGTGGGAGGTGGGAGAAGGGAGGAGGAGTAAGGAGGGGGTGTGATGGGCGGGATCGAGTGGGGCGTGTCTGTCAAGGAAGGGGGAAGGGGGGGGAGGTCGATGGGAGAGTGGGAGGGTAAGGGAGGCAGGGGATCAAAAATAGCTCCCCTTCCAACGCCTCCCTTTCCCCCTCTCCCTCGTCGGCAGCCGGTGCATGCCTCGCCCCTCTCTCTGGGCCGCGGGGCTTACCACCTGCCGAGACATACGTGACATCCTGTGTATAGACATGTATACAAATACACGCGCGTACATATACACATATGCATATTCACACACACACACACATATGTATGTGTGTGTGTATACGTATAAAGTATTTTAGTTGCGGGAACATACATGTCTATATCTATCTATCGATCTATTTCTCTCTATATATATATAGAGAGAGAGGTTGAGAATATTCATACATACGAACACACACATGTATATGTGCATATACATGTATATGTATGTATGTATATATATATGTATATATACACACACACACACGTAGGAGAATACATATATATGTAAATTTGTATATACACACACGTAAATCTCTCTCTCTCTCTCTCTCTCTCTCTCTCTCTCTCTCTCTCTCTCTCTCTCTCTCTCTCTCTATATATATATATATATATATATATATGCATATATATATATATATATATATATATATATATATATATATATATATATACATATATATATATATATATATATATATATATATATATATATATATATATATATATATATATATATAATTATATACATATATATACACACATATATGTATATACATGTATACATATATGTATATATACGTACATATATGTATATGTATATGTTTATAAATAGATACATATATATATATACACACATATATATACACACACACACACACACACATATATATATATATATATATATATATATATATATATATATATATATATATATATATATATATATATATATATATGTATATATATATATATATATATATATATATATATATATATATATGTATATATATATATATATATATATATATATATATATATATATATATATATATATACATATATTTACACAGTATATCTATCTTTCTATCTATCTATATATGTATGTTTATATATCTATATCTATACTTATATATATTATATATATCTATATTCGTATATATATCCATATACATTATATATATATATATATATATATATATATATATATATATATATATATATATATATATATATATATATATATGTACATTCACAGGTAGCTAAAGATATAGATAGATGCATATATATCGTGTGTTCAGAGATCTTCGACTAACGCCAGCAGCTATGGCGTTCAGTGCAATGAGATCAGTCTTCCCTGTACTTCAGTTTCTGCTATTCACTGAATTCCCTTGTACTTCAAGTTCAGTTCAGGCGCGTAAAAAGAGACAGGAAAAATAATAGAATCGGTATACACGGTAAGAGATCTCTCTGCCCTGTTTTTCTTGTGTGTTTCTTCGATTTTCACAACGTCAGTTAAAACGAAAATAATATAACAAAAAAGCAGGTCACATACTTGGCCGTTTTTTTTCGAATCGGATAGGGCTGAAACATTGGGGTTCGAAATCACTGTCACATCACTGTGTCACTGTTCCTTGAGCAGTATCTTTGATCTTTTTTGGGGAAAATAGCACTTTATACACTTGAAAGCTCTTGCAAAACCTCTTTATTTTGACTTTACGATTATCATTCGGGCTCAGAAAAGAGTTTTGCTTTGCTCGACACCGAACACAAGAGAAACACCAGTTATACAAACCGCAACTTTGAACATATGAAAGAAAAACAAGACTAAAAAAAAAAAAGAAAAGAAAAAAAATAACTTTTACTTCGCGACCCGTGACGCGCGCTCACGCTCTCTACAGGTGTCTCTTCCTCTGGGTCTGACAGGTGTTTTACAAGGCGTTCAACTCACCCTCTTCGCCATAGAGCCATCGATGCCGTACTGCCTCTCAATGTCAAGCAGGTGTCCTCCCTGGGGCAGGTGCACGGTGGTGCAGATGGACCTGGTGCCGGAGTCGTCCTTCCTCTCCCTCTGGCGGAGACCGATGGGGGTGTACTTATAACCGTAGAATGATGGCCAGCTCATGGTGATGGGGCGTGTGGTGACAGGCAGAGAGAGAGAGGAGACGTGCACTCGCGTTGGCTGTTGGGGCAACACTGACGAAGGTGCTCGGACGCTACACCTCCTTGGCGTGACTGCCTTGGGA